ACTGCCATTCAAAAGTTTGGGATCAATAATGTTTATTAAAAAAGTTTCTTATGCTCATCAAGGCTGTATCTATTTGATAAAAATACTGAATATTATTTCACAAAATAATATTGTGAAATATTATTGCAATTTAAAATAAAAGTTTTCTATTTTAATATACTTTACAATATAATTTATTCCTATGAAGCAAAGCTGAATTTTCAGCATCATTACTCCAGTCTTCAGTGTCACATGATCCTTCACAAATCATTCTAATATGCTGATTTATAATCAATGTTGGAAACAGTTGTGCTGCTTAATATTTTTTTGGGACCTGTGATATTTTTTCAGGATTCTTTGCTAAATAAAAAGTTAAAAAGAACAGTGTTTATTCAAAATAGAAATTTTGTGTTACAATATACAATACTATTCAAAAGTTTGTGGTCAGTAATTTTTTTCTTTTTTTTTTTAAAAGAAATGAATACTTTTATTCAGCAAGAATGTGTTAAATGGATAAAAAGTGATAGTAAAGACTTATATTTTTAGAAAAAGATTTCTATTTTGAATAAATGCTGTTCTTTTTAAACTTTTTATTAATCAAAGAATCAAAGAAAAAAACTATCATAGGTTCCAAAAAATAAAAAATAAAAAAATTAAGCAGCAAAACTGTTTCAACACTGATAATAAATCAGCATATTAGAATGATTTCTGAAGGATCATATGGCACTGAAGACTGGAGTAATGATGCTGAAAATTCAGCTTTGCTTCACGGGAATAAATTATATTTTAAAGTATATTAAAATAGGAAACCAATATTAGAAATTGCAATAATGTTTCACAATATTACTGTTTTTTTCTGTATTTTCGATTAAATAAATACATCCTTGATGAGCACAAGAGACTCCATTAAAAAACTATTAGGTTTATAATATAGGCCTAACATAATATAATATCAAAACAAACTGAAGCATTTAAACTGAGATCTGCAAGTTAAATATTTAAAAATATTCTATAGCTATCTAAACATCCCTATGAAGTACAGTTAGCACAATACACCTGTGTGTGACTGTAAATGTCTCTGAGAGTTGTTACCGTTCTGTGCTCATCATCCACTATTTCCAGCACTTAATCAAGCCACTCTTCTTTAATACATGACGTTTTATTTCACATGTCATTGCGTTTGCGCTGGCTCTAGATTTGAGCTATTTCGTCCGCAACCATTCAAATATTCGGTTTCTACAGCGACTCATTTGGCGCACATCATTCTCTTTCTATGAAACCTGTAAACCGCATTCACCGGTTCTAACTCTATATCAACTCTATAGCGGTTTACCCGAGCATTGCAATTAATTTGCTTTCGCATATGGCTTTCCCAACTCATTTATGCGTGTGTGCGGCACATCATTTCCTCTGCGCGGCCGTGCACGCACGCAGCTTAGAGGGAACATTGGTGCTGGGTTGATATAAAGAGAAAATTTCGGGGGAAAACGGGATCTATTTTTTGTGACCTTTGGTGATGGACATTATTACCTGGCTCTGGCTACATGGGCGGAAGGCTGACTGTGACATTTACAAGTGAAACACTTTAATGAGAAGGACGTCACTTTGCTCTTTTCGGGAGCAGAGCTCCTATAAAGTCGATTAAAGCAGTTACCACACCTGCCTTTGCAGAGTGGATTTTCTCGTTTGGGTGTGACTGGATTCAAAATCAGCAGATTTCTCACTCCGTCTTTTTCTATTATCTTTCCACTTCCTTGATGTGGAAGCCTCGATGTCTTCTACCCAATTTCAACATGTTTCCATCCATCGCCGACTCCCTAAACCTCAGGCCCTCTCTTTGTTTCTCCCCCTGCCACAGTATTAATAGCCTCTCTGCAGGACTGAATGCATCTTCAGCCCGGAGTTCATCGTCAGTTCATCTTTGACTGTGTTTTAATGAGTTTCAGAATCCGCCCACCCCCTCATGGCAGTCCGTCCTCCAACACTCACGCAAATTATCAGGGGGCCAGAGTTCCTGCCATCATAACACTTATTGGAGTGTGTGAATGACCTGCGAGAAGGTGTGTTTAAAATAACATTAACGAGCGGATGGACTCGGCAGCCACCACCTCAGAACAAACAGAGGTTTAGTTTCGGCAGACATCATTATCGCTCTCCTTTTATATATACTGTATATAGAGGGAGAGAGATTCACCCACACATGCTAAAGTCAACACTACCTAAAGCTGTAGGAATGGAATGGATCGCTTGACTCTGACCCTGTGCACTAAAATAAACCGTGATGACGCAGACTGTGAATAAAGGTAAAGACTGAATCATTAGCAAATTACATTTGAACTCACAGCTAATATTATTGACTTGAGTTGAGATCTAGCTATTTAATTTGGTCAATGAAATTACTGAATTTTTTTTTTCGTAATGAAGATGACAAAAATATCACAAAGATTATTAATATACAATGAATATATTTTAAATAAAAGATACCGTTTACAAAAATATAAAGGAGAAAAAAATCACACCAGACATTAACAATGCACTAACAATGTTTTTGAAGAGGAAAGATCTATATAACTGTTTCGAATGATCCAATAATAGTCAATAATATTGCTGAATGAAGCTTGAGCTGAATTTGAATAATGAATGAACACCGGTAAACTGAAGTGCTTTTCTAACGGGATTAACTCACCCAAACACATCCTATTAATGAGATTAATCAACATTAATTAAATATTACAGCTTACATCTGCACAAAATGACAAAATAGCATGTGAAGAATTTGTACTGTAAGTCACATTGTGAATATGCTCTTTCTGTTAAAACATGCTTGAGACACTGACAATGAATAAAGCATAAAGACTAGGGGTGTAACGATTCACTCTTTTTCTCGATGCATCGATTACAAACCCTGACGATGCATATGCATCGATCTTGAACATGGATTTTTGAATCGTGAATCGTCGATTTCGGACAGTAATCGATTTAAAACGCTAAGAATAGAATGAATCGCGATTTCTATAGCGATTCAATGCTTTCAAAATATATATACACATTACATTACTACAAGCACGAATTAATGGAGCCCTTGAACAGTGTCTGTGCTCGCATCTCTCCTTCTCACGCTCCACTATTTACCGCCTGTGATTGTCACAGGATTGCGCTCGAGCTCAGTTCGTCTCACTGACACATTTTTTGAGCAGCTGATGTGTGATCCCTCCTTAGTAGCCTACTCGTGGCCAGTAATGCTAAAGTGAAGTAGTTTTATTTTTCTGTAGTTTTTCAATGGCTCTCGGTCATACCGACGACATTACCGGAGCAGTCGAAGGCTGCGCATTTATTGCATGGACGGAGCAAAAATTTAAGTGTCTAAAGCATACACACAGTTCCATTGAATGATAAATGTGTTTTAACAATGTCGTTGAATCGAATGTATGAAGGAAACTGTTAAAATAACCACAGCATTAACAACAACCTTGAAATAAGAGCGCAAGGTTTATCTGAGATAATCAGATGCATGAAAGTAGCGTTCGTTGCTGTAGCAAACAGATATTGGGCGCGTTTTCTTTCAGGATCATCATTCGCCGATGGAGAGGAAAAGTTAAATACTATAGCATTTTATTTGATGAAAATGAGAAAGAAGTTTTCGCACTGAAAGAGCATTGATCTCGCGCTCATAGAACTTAAGACGTGCCAGGCTATATCTGCAGCTAAGCTGAATAAAAAGCAGAATGAACTGAAACGTTAAGACAATAAACACAATAAATAAATACAATTTATGAATGATGCAGTACAGTACAGAAACCATAAAGTATATTTTCTACCATTTTCTACCTAATTTGCAAAAATCGTTCTTGAATCGAATCGAAAACCTATGAATCATGAATCGAATCGATTCGCTGTCTACCCAAAGATTAACAGCCCTAATAAAGACATAATTCTAATGGTGCAATCATAAAATTATTTTAGCAAAAATTATTTTTACATTATTTTTAATTATAAAATAATGAATATTATTTTTACATTTTTGCTACATGCAAATACGTTTAAATTAATATACAGAATATTTGAATAATAATTTTACTTTATTTTTTTCACCAAACAAATATTTTAGTACAAAATATTAAATAAACTTAAAGGATATTTTGATTGAAAGACTAAAACTGTGACAAACTATCCACTCAGCATCTTTACATACTCTGGTCTGAAATGCCGAAAACAGATAAGGAACTGTTGCTTTAACTGGAAGCAGCTGTTGTATAATTTTAATTTCATCAGCTAGAATAAATAATGCCACATAAAGGCAGGGTGTGAAAAACCATCAGCCCTCTGAGGTTCACAATACTCCGTGTGTATTAACACATTACCTCTCAACAACAGGGATATTGAAATCGAGAGATGAGTTGAGAGGTGCAGAGAGGGAGATATAAGGTACGTTGTGACTAAACCGCCGAACCTCTCCTGTCTGTGGGTCGTTTGATTGCACGAGCATGCGACTGCTCTTGACCGAGTGTCTGAATAGATTGCACGCTGGAAATTTCTATCAGGCGGCGTCTGCCAGTGGGCCTGTAGTCACTGCTTATTTATCGACTGCTGGTGCTTCTCATTACAGGCTGAGTGGATGATCATAGCGGTAGTTGCAGGATTTATGATAATTTTGCTGGATTCTAGCGAACTTCAGCCAGGGACACATGAGTGGCTGCAGACAATTCGTTCTTTTTGTTTGTCTAGCAGGAACAACAGGGAAGGTCGAATGAGATGAACACAGACTCGCAGATTGCCTGACTCAAAGGGGTTTTTTTAAGAAAGAGAATTTGTTTGTCTCTCCAAGTTGGTGTGTATGAGTGTGCACTTTACTTAGATTTTTGGGATTCTTTTATTTTTGTTTCTTTGTGAGTGTATTTGTGTTGTGTGCAGCTGTGGGGCCATGCAGCAGAATCCAATACAGCGCTAGAAAAGTTTCAACTTGGGATAAAGCGAAGCTAGAAGACAGACAATGGGTCAAGGGCCTCTCCCCACCCCCTTACCCTCCATCTCCACACTGCCTGGCTTCAAGTCAGGAGAACCCTGCCCTCCCCGCCTCCCCTCCTCGGGGCGGATACCTGTCTCAGAGGCACCCTTGACTTTAGGCAGAGCTGGTCCCTGATTGGTTGTGCTGGCGCTTGTGGGTGAGGTCTTTCCTGTGGTTGTATTGGAAGGGGGCAACAGAGTTACGCATGAGAAATATCCATAAAATGCATTTTAAATCAGGAAAACATGCATTTAATAAGAGGGTTCAACATATTTCCATTGTGTAAAATATCAATAAAGGGATAGTTCATCCAAAAAAGAAAATTCTGTCATCATTCTCATGTCATTAATAACCTTGATGATTTTTCTTTCTTCTGTTAAACACAAAATAAGACAACATTTTTTGTCTGTGGGGTCCACCGTGATTGTTTTGGACCTCACTGACTTCCAAGACATTCTTAAAAATATTTTCTTTTATGTTCCACAGCAGAATGAAAGTCATACAGGTTTGGAGTAACATGGGAGTAATAACAAAATGAGGACAATTTTCAGTTTGGGGTTTAAAGAAGATATTTTGAAGAACTGTTGTCCATATAATGACAGTCGATGGGGACCAAAACAACAAATGTTGTTATTGTTAAATAAAACAAACTATCAAGTATCATTTTTATTAATTAAAAAAAAGCTGAAATAAAATAAAATATAAATATTAGATGAAAAAACTTCAATACTAAAACAAGTTTAAACTGAATTAATGTTTAAATTGAAGTAAAATTACTTACATTTTTTTTATTTAATTTTGTTTTAGTAATTTAAGAAATAAAAAAACTAATAAAAATGACAAAAGCACATAACAAAATTACAAAAATCTTGAACTAAAATGAAAACTGAAAATGTAAAAAAAGGTAATTCTAATAAATAATCTAATATAATATTAATACAACTGAATTAACACCGAAAACAACATTGGACTCCACTGATTGGGTGCATGACAAACAAAACAAAAAACCAAAAAAGTCGCCTTTTGCATTCCCACTGAAGGAAGTATGTTATACAGCTTTGTAACAACATGAGGGTGAGTAAATAATTACATTTTAATTTTTGTGTGAACTATCCCTTCAAATAGCTCAGTAAAAGATTTCAGAAGTTGTAAAGTTTATGTGAAGTGTGCAGTACAAATCACGTATATTAAAAAAAAAAAAAAAAAAAAAATCTTCTTGCCGCAAAATCAATATAACATTTTCTTTGTTTTGTTGTGTCACCGCATGAATTTCTAGCCCACAGAGTATTGCAGAATCGAAACTTGGAGGCATTTGTTCTGAACTGAGCTAATCTCACAGAAGCTTCTTTCTGAACAGTTTAACAGTCTCCCCTCCCTTTCTCCTTTTCCATCCATTCCCCCACAAAGTGCTGATCCCAAACATACTTGCGGACCACATACTTTGAGGATATCCTCATAAGTCTGATTCTGAGATTTAGTTCTCCTCGTTCCCGGGCGACTTTAAGTACCAATGACCTTGCGGAGTTCTCTTTCTGAAAGACTCTGCGTCCTTTGGCTCGGGCTGCTGTGAAAAACTTCATCACAGAACTAATGCTTAATGTAGCGGCACACAGTACTCATCAGCAGCAGCCGGTTGTCCGGGGCCAAACGTGGAGCCCATCCTCCACCTGCCCAACTCTAAATAAAGCCTGTCATCTTGCCATCTGTGCCACACAGTGCCCGATCAACAGGGGAGCTCGGCGCTGACACACGGGACGCTTTTATTATCGTTCCGTTTTCATTCTATTACAAAGCTGCCGGAAGAAAAGAGCTGTCGGAAAACAGTGGTGCATTGTGGGAATTTTCGTCCATCTTTCACAATGGGATGGCTTTATCACACAGTGGGAAGACGGCGAGAGTTCTGAGGATGTAATGACTTCTCTTGAATGCAGGTAGAGCTCTAATTACCCTGCCAAGGTGCCGTGGGAGGCTTTGTCTCAGCGTGAGGTGAGAAGCTGCACTGCCGTGTCATTTCCAGTGGCTGGAAGAGGAGCTGTGGAGGCTGAATGAAGCGGTGGGGAAGATCACTGAATGTGTGCACCCACTGTGTGCTCTTTCACAGAGAGGAGCACCGGGACACTCTGTCCAGCATCCCACACATCCATGACACTGCAGCCCAATGCCATGATCAGCGTTCACACACTCCCATCCTCTCTCTCCTTCCTTTCTGCCTTCATTATTTCCTCTTTGATCTATCTCACATCCTCCCTTCTTTAATATCTGTCCTTTCTTCCTTCTCTAAATCTCTCCTTCATTTCTTTAATCTTTCCTTCCATTCTTTTTCTTAAACTCTTATACTTTTCTTAGGGCCAGGGTTTTTCATTGCTTCCTTAATCTATTCTTTCTTTCTTCATTAATCTACTCTTCCTTCTTTAATCTATTATTTGTTTCTTCCTTAATCTATTCTTCCTTCATTCCTTCCTTCCTTCCCTCTTTCATTCATCTATTCTTCCTTCCTTCCCTCTTTCATTAATCTATTCTACCTTCCTTCCCCCTTTCATTAATCTATTCTTCCTTACTTCCCTATTCTTAATTTCTTCCTTCTTGAATCTATTTTCTACCTTCACGAGTCTACTCTTCCTTTATAAATCCATTCTTTCTTCCTTTCTTCATTAATCTATTCTTCCTTACTTCCTTTCTTCCCTAATTCTTCATTTCTTCCTTAATCTAATCTTTCTACCTTCATGAATTTATTCTTTCTTCATGAAACTATTTTTTAATCTATTCTTTCTCTGTGAATCTGTTCTTTCTGTGTGAATCTATTCTTTCTTCATTAATGTATTCTCTTTACCTTCATGAATCTATTTTTCTTAATTTTCTTTCTTCCTTCATGAATCTATTTTTTCTTTGTGAATCTATTTTCTTCCATCAATAACTTATTCTTTCTACCTTCATGAATCTATTTTCCTTTATCAATCTGTTCTTTCTTCCTTCTTTCCTTCATCTATTCTTTTCTTCCTTCATGAATCTATTATTTCTTTGTGAATCTATTCTTCCTTTATCAATCTGTTCGTTCTTCCTTCCTTCCTTCATCTATTCTTTCTACCTTCATGAATATATTTTCCTTCTTTCTTTCTTCCTTCATAAATCTATTCTTTCTTCATTATTCTATTCTTCCTTATTTAATCTATGCTTGCTTCATTAACCTATTCTTCCTCACTTTCTTCCTCTCTTCATTGATCTTCCTTCCTTATTATATCCTTCCTTCCTTCCATCCATCCATCCATCCGTTCATCCATCCATCCATCCGTCTGTCTGTCTGTCTGTCTGTCTCTTTTTCTTCCTTCCCTCCAGGAATGTGAAAAAAGACAGAAAGAAAATGTAGGGGTCACCAGGGAGTTATTCACTTCTCTCTAACTGGCTGATGGACTTGTTGTTGAAATATTTTAGTACCATAATCAGCTCAGAAAACAGTGGCACTGAACAAAGCAGGTGACTTGGAAATGTTGTTATTTACTAAAACTAATCTGTGCTAATAACCTCATGTGACTAATCCTGATGGTAATTCAAGGATTTTGAGAAATATACCGGATATTTCATATGATCCACAGAGGATGGGAAGCTCTGATGTGTGTGTGCGTGTGTGTGTGTGTGTGTGTGTGTGTGAGAGAGAGAGAGAGAGAGAGAGAGAGAGAGAG